ATGGTCGTTGTCGTCGTCCAGCGTCCGTCGTTTCAGCCTGTCCCCGCCACCATTGCCGGCGCTGTCCACCAGCTGCTGTACAAAAAACTGCTGGGCGGCGTCGGCCATCGGCACCTTTAAATTGCTGATGCGTTGGTCACTGGTGATCACAGCAACCACAAAATGAATAGAACACAAAAGGAAACCAAAACGCGAACCAAATGTTACAATAGCACTGCTGTACACTGCTGACTAGAGGGGCACACATGTTGAGTGGCGACGATAAAGGGACAATCGCAATGACTAGAGTCGACGAAATCGGTGACAGTGAAGGCGAGAATATGTGGAAGGCAGACTCTGCTGTGGTGGAAGAGACTGAAGAGAAGACCACGATCACCGCCTACTGTCGTCATGCCGCCGGTCATATTGCACAATGTTGCTGCCGCTGCTGTACAAGGAAGCGGAGCACGAGAAAAAGGAGGAGGAGGAGGAGGACTAGACACAACTCGGCACTGCGGCCGTCGTTTACAGACTGACACAGCAACCAACGACAACGACGACTGGCGGCTGGAGGCTGCGTGAGGTTGAGGCACGAACGGAAGTGGCGACGGCCGCCAGCTGGACTCACATAGCGAGCGCGGACTGTGGATGAGGAGGAGGCGATGTCCTACTGATCATCGTCGACGCTGATTGACTGTCGTCGTCGCAGGCCAGCCGGCCGGCAGACCGGCCGAACGACCAGCGTTCGGTGTCATTACAACCACCACCACCACCACCACCACAATAGGAGAAAGGCTATGGTGGCCGAGGGCTGTCAGACAGACTTCGATGGATGAATGGATGGATGGAGGGAGGGGTCGATCGGAATGTGTAAAAGTTTCTTCGTTCTTCTCACTTACTCGTGTGTCCACTGACCATCATCTTCAGTCACTCGCTGTCACCCGCCTTCTATCTTCCGCCGTTCCTCATAGCCGCCGCCGGATAATTAGTCGTCGGCGTTGGCCATCTTAGTTCGCATCCTCCAATATACTCCACTCAAACACCACCACCATCGCCGGCGGACTGCCGTCACTTGTCTCTGCTCCTCACATATCGATCGAGTAAAAAAGAAATTAGCCATCCACATTCGTCGTCATTCCTCACGAATCAATGCCATGTCGTGGTGCATGCTACCGGTTGGACGCGCGTGGGCAAATTGCACGCATTGTTCTTTACAACCACCGACTGAGGAGCCGACGGAGGACGCGTCTGTGAGAAGTCCGTTCACAGTTGCACATGGCCGAATACGACACGCACCTGAACTAAACTGAGGGTACTGCCAACGAACTCTTGTCCTCTTATTACTGTATGCCAGTTAATACGGGTACTGTATATAATTTATAATTACTAATGAATCGTCGTTGATAAGTCGATAATCACGCCGGTAATTGGCATACGGTGAAATGCCGATCGAAGAACGTTGTTTTCTACTGGTCCAAGTGAAATTGACGTTAAATGCGGCAAGTAAAATATTCAATTACATGCAAAAGTGACTTTTGTGAAAATCGACTTTAGATTGGCCAAACGATCGTCGGCGCGCGTTCGACCGGGATTTCGTGCGAGCGCGCCGCTTAATAACATCGCTTTAGTGGATTCGGTGCCGCAAGCATCTCCAAGAAACGACACTACCAACGCGAAAGAAGAATGGACGCCAGGGAAATTCACATATATCACTGCTTGCGAAGGAGGAGTAACGAAACACGCGACGTGGGAGAACTCAGATTCGATATTGATAAGGGTCGACGAGGACAAACGAGCAAAGCAACTGAGGCGCAGTGAGGTGATTGTCCTTCCGGATTAGGAATGACATTCGACGCAATTCGAAACCATTGTCACTTCCCACATGGTTGGCATCCCGGCTGACAAGAATTATCATGTCATTGATGATGGCACTTGCCATAAGAACAAGCCCTGTGCGAAAGTGAAACGCCTCGAGATAGCCAACCGCGTTCACATACACTGCCCTCAGGAGGGAAATGACGCAGATGGCTGATGAGCCGTGGTCGCAAAACGCTGACGGAATCTTTCATGCAGCATATAATTATATTCCTTGATGTTAACACACAAGAATGCAGGCAAGGCCGTTACAGAATTAGAGTCCTCTCCTGGTCGGGCTAGAATGATCCGTTTTTTGTATGCTTGTAATATGCTTCGAATACAGACACCTGGACTAATGAATTGAGAAGTAAACTGGGTAACTCTTCATTCATTGGAAAGTCAAGTCACACACGTGACCATTTGAACGGGTCTGTGAACAAATCATGCCAGATGAACTCCCCCACTTGTTAAACACGAACTATTTACTTATTTACTCTATGTGAGTAAAGTATGAATATGGAATTTTCTGTATTAAAAAAAATTTATAATTAGGAAAATTCTTTGACAACTAACAAACTTATTTAAAAATTACTGTCGCAATGCGCAAAAAGTCATCTTGCTATAATTTCTGCCGCAGAACAGTTGTTTGCGGACAATTTCTACGCACTTGTAAATCTTTTATCATGACACTA